ACAGGTGTGGCCCCCTGTTTGTTACACAGGTTGAGGGCCTCTCGGGCCCCTGGCTGCTTGAGGAGAAAACTGGCCACTTTGAGGAGCCCACGACGCGCTGCAAAGTGTAGAAGGGTCTCTTGAGGTTCCAGTCCTGAAAGCCAAATACAAGAGTGTTCAGAGAGAAAAATAGATGAAAATAAATCAGACCATGATCAGTGTTTGTCTCTTCAATACATATCAAAAGCATATAAATAATAACCAATTACTTTATTTAAAGTTTTTTTTTTCCCACACACACACACACACACACACACTTTACTTAACTACGTTTTTAAAAACTTAAATTGTTTTTATACACAGCTAGTTATAAATGATATAACCTAGTGTTATCATGATTGATACAATACCTTAAAAAAAAATGTTGATATTCTATACCATTTTTAATACCACAAGGAAAACTTCAAAGTAGATATTTTTATTATTATCTCATACATTTTTTGTTGATAATTTGAGTAATTTTGTTCAAATATCCTACAGCCCATGGAGGCATTATTTGAAACTTCGAACTAAAGTAATCGGTCCGTAATAAAATGACAACAAATAGCAAACAACAGCACAAGTAAATACAATAGAATAAAGAGACAAACGAAATAAACATGGCTTTAAGTTTTTCAGATGAGTCTAACAGTAGTATTCGGATAAACACTGGATAGTCTCCATTGCAAAAATGAAGTAGATTAATTTGCATACAATTAAATAGGGATGCACCGATATGAAAATTTTGGCCGATACCGATAACCGATAATTCTTTATATTTGAAAGCCGATAACCGATATATCGGCCGATAAATTTAAATCCAAATTTTTATCTAATTTTGAGAGCCTGATGACAAAACAAAAGCCTCACAATAAAATCAATGTCCCAAGCGCACGATTATAATGATGTTCTCATTATAGTGTTGCATAGCCGATATGACAGATTTGCGCTGCACATGTTGTACCGAACGGTATTTACATTTTTTGAAGAGATTTCAATCATATTTCAAGAAATTCAAAAACATAAACAGTGCTCAACAAGTGTCTCAGCTGAAGGGAATAATACATTATTTATCGGCTTTAATATATCGGCCACATTTTCTTACCAGGCCGATGACGATAACATTAAAAATGAACACATATCGGCCGATACCGATATGCTGGCCGATATATCGTGCATCCCTACAATTAAAGTTACAAAAGAAATTCAGTCAAGAGCAAAGCGTGATTTTCTGTCTTTTGTTCTCTGATTAACATGACGGAGCAGCAGGTTTATTAGGCTGCTGGCCCTTTAAGAGCTAATGCACGGATCCGATATACTGTTAAACAACACGCGTTTTCTTTCTGTTTGTGATTATTTGACCATTTAAGCGCATTAAGTCACAAAAAAGCGCTCAACAAGGCATTCACATTCTGTTTGAGAGGTGGCTTTATGTGCGTGAGCTTTTGAGCAAGTGTAAGTGGGAAACAATTATGCACAATACTAATATGAATATGTATCGAAATATCAATATTTTTGATAACGTTAAACCTAACCCTTACAGTAAACCTCCTGTATTTTTACAATGACTAATACAGCAATATACAGCACATAAACCCCATTAGGACTTATTATTATTATTATTAAATTACAAAACATCAAACCAAAGTGGTGCTTATTACTGAAAAATAAAAGCAGCAACATTTTTAAGCATAATAAAAACCCATCAGACAAGTTTAAGACAAGGACTTAGTGCCGTGATTCAGCAGAGAAGAACCAGGCCCAAACAATTGCAGTTAATTAAATATGTAAAAAGATCTGTCAGCTGTAATTAACGTCAAACTGTGACTGACCTGTCAACTGTCATGTGACCACAGTGAACTCAAAGGAACTGTTCTGATTACTTGGAACCTGATCTGGAATGTTATTTAGGGACGTTTATTTGGCTGCAGATTTGTGCTCGAGAATATCATCCAGTACATTCTCTTCTACGCTGCAGGGCAAAATCATGGACCAAGCCCAAAAATGGGTAAACACTAAGCTTTTAATTGTCTTAACCACAAACTATTGGTCAGGAAATTAGTCAAATTTAAGCAAGTGCACTACTTAAAAAGGTATTGCAGTCTCAGAAAAATATCACAGACAGAATTAAGTATATGAAAGAATATGGGAAGTTGTGTGTGGCTCCATGGAGTGATGAATCACAATGAAACACGAGTTGCATGTTGAGAAATATAATAATAAATGCATCTCTACCATAGTAAAGCATAGAGGAAGAGTGCCATTGTTTGTGTGGGAAGCTTTTTTAGCTGCTGGTATTGTTGAGCTATTTCACTGGGAAAAGTCATTTAATGCTACAGGAGAATATTACTTTCCACAAATGAACGTTTCTTATGATCAGAGAAGTCCACCAGGCTCATGTTTAGTCTGCTCGGAGTCTAGATTTGAACCCTTTAGTGAATATTTGGTCTCATAGCAAAAACACAAACGAACTGGGAGATATTTTTCATCAACTCAAGAACTGTTTGAAGCCATATACATTGAGTGGAACAACACTGACTCTTCTTCCAGTAAGAAGCTGTCTGCAAGATGGGGACGGCTAGTCTGTGCCAAGTCTACAGTGTTTGTGCAATTCTTCCTAATTTCCTAACCAGTGATTTGTGATTAAAATGGTTAAGACCCTTAAATATTTTGCCATTTTATTTGATTTACTTTGCCAGGAGTGCAAACTGGAAACAAAATAAGTCATAAGCCAAAAATGAGAAGAAAAAAAAATTATAGGCTCTCCAAAATGTACCAGTTTATATTTTTATATAATACAATATAAAAAGGATATATTTAATATGGCAGTAAATTGTATATTTTATTGGTTCTCTAGACAAATCGAGAACAAGCCTGATGAACTGCACCAATGCTAATGCTTAGATGCCCCCTACAGGACCACATCATAACTATTGCTGAGACAATCCTCCCATTTCATAATGTAGATATTGGATGATGTACACAGACAACTTCTTAAAACAAAGATACTTAAAGGAGTGGTTCACTTTTTTAAAAAAAACTGTTGCTGATAATTTACTCACCCCCATGTCATCCAAGATGTCCATGTGTTTCTTTGTTCAGTCGAAAAGAAATTAAGGTTTTTGATGAAAACATTCCAGCATTTTCTCCATATAATGGACTTCAATGGGAACCAAACGGTTCAAGGTCCAAATGATAGTTTCAGTGCAGCTTCAAAGGGCTTTAAACGACACCAGACGAAGAATAAGGGTCTTATCTAGCGAAACGATCGGTCATTAAAAAAATAAATAAAAAAATGAAGTTTTATAAGGACAAATGCTCACCTTGCTCTGTTCTATGATGAGCGTTCGTGACTCTCCTGTTCAAACTCACAAATGAACAAATCTTTTTTTCGAGTCAGGCCTCGAAGGGTCCTAGAAAAGACCCTTATTCATCATCTGGTGTCATTTAAAGCCCTTTGAAGCTGCACTGAAACTCTCATTTGGACCTTGAACCGTTTGGTTCCCATTGAACTCCATTATAGGGAGAAAATCCTGCAATGTTTTCATCAAAAACCTTAATTTCTTTTCGACTGAAGAAAGAAAGACGTGGACATCTTGGATGACATGTGGGTGAGTAAATTATCAGCAAAAGTTTTTTTTTTTTTTTAAAGTGAACTACTCCTTTTAATGACTACTTGCCTTACTACTAACTTTTCGTCTTTGCTCATTGTGTATCAGACAAAAATACAGCATGGATTGAACCTACAAGCTTATTTGAACTCCGTTAAGCTGCACTCACGTGTGTTGTTCCCCAGCAGGCTCCAGCCAGGGGGCAGCGTGAGATGTCTGAGGGCCAGGGACAGACCCTGGTCCAGCTTTTCGCACTCCTGCAGTGGGATCTGATGCTCATCCAGTAGCAGAGCCTCTTCCAGTATGTCCGTCTGCCCCACCGCACTCACCAGGAACTGGGCCATGTCAAAGGCAAGGTCCTGCATGAAGTGCAGGTGCTCGGTGGCCAGAGTATGAACGTAACCGTCCCGTCCCGCTGAGCATAGGGTGACCAGCACTGACTCACAGCAGTTATGAGCTGCACAGAGAGGCAAAGATCACATCATCTCAGCAGTCAAACACATTCAAGACAAATAACTAATAATGTGAAAGGTCAAAAGGATATGGAGGGGGGAAATAAAAATTAAAAAAATCACAGCAAAAATTGTGTCATTATCAGACATTTGAGTCATTTAGCTGACATGTGCATAAAATAAAATAAATAAGACAAGATTTTCAGGTTGGGTACAACTGTCAGTACAGGCATACAACTCATATCTGGTTTGTTTGCACAATTTACTGTTAAATTACAGTCATTTGTCCAACTAGTAAATGCAATCTCTCATTCCTGGCGGTTATAAAAACATTAAGTCTTTACTGCAGTGACAGCTCATCCTAAGAGAATAATTACTGTGGCTGAAGCCTGTGGTACATATTAAAAATGACAGCCAGGTCTCACCACACAAAGTGGCACATGGTCATCCTCCTGGGAAAAGAGACAAACCCCATATTTATGTGCAACAACATTTCCAAACATCCTCCTAGTGGTCTGAACTTCTGTTATGTGTTTACCAATCTCTGAATAGTTACTAAAATAACACTCACACTAACATAAAATAATTCATATCATGCTTAAAATAAATAAATAAAAAATATGCAAAATGACTGTTGTTTGTAATGCACATGACTTTGCAATGTCGTTCAGGTTGCAACTACCTGAATAAACTGACCTTGACCTTGGATGCGTGTAAATCTATTATACACTGTAAAAACAATATTAAAAAAGTAAGTAACCTGGTTGCCTTAAAATTTTAAGTTCATTGAACTGGAAAAAGTGCGTTAATACAATGAAGGAGAATGATTTAATCATCAGAAACTCAAAATTATATGTTATCTGAACTAAATAAATTATTTAAGTTGATTGGACAAAAGAAAACATGTTGTGATTTCTACACTGTAAAAAAATATTGTTGGTTTAACTTAAAAAAGTAAGTAACCTGGGTTGCCTTAAATTTTTAAATTGATTGAACTGGAAAAAGTGAGTTTATACAATGAATTAATTTAATCATCAGAAACTCAAAATAATAAGTTCTCAACTAAATAAATTATCATAAATTTGATTTGACAAAAGAAAATATGTTGTGATAACAAATCTTGAAAATATTTTTTACAGTGTAGAAGATCTCCGAAACAAAATTAGGAACCTAAGCAAAATAGGGGCACTTTAAATTTTGATGACAATTGGGCTGTGAAAAGATTAATCGCATCCAAAATAAAAGTTTGTGTTTACATTATTTATGTGTGTGTAGTGTGTATAATTATTTTGTATATATAAATACACAAACATGCATGTATATATTTAAGAAATATTTGAATGTATATCCTTTATATATATATATATTTATACACAATTGATATTATATATAAATATTTGATACAACAACACATTTTTCTTAAATATACATGCATATGTGTGTATTTATATATACAAAATAATTATACACGCTACACATATATATGTATATATGTGATTAATCGTGAATAATCGTTTCACAGCCCTATTCAAAGGAGTTTTTTTAGGAAAACTGTCGACCGATAAACTGTGCTAATTAAGATCTAGTACAGTAGTCAACATTTGAAGTGGATCAAAACCTTTCAAAGTTAAACTTTGGTGAACTTTTTTGATGCACTTCAAATGCTGACTGTATAACTATAAAGTAAATGCATTTTGATCTCATATTGAAAACAAGCCAAACATAAACACTAAGACCCCATTTACACCTGGTATTAAAATGCGATCTGTATCCAGATAAGTTATCCGGATAATAAGTACTGATTCCATTTACACCTGGCCACATAAATGTGTTTTTGCAAAACGGATATAAATCCGATCTTCACCTCCTGCGTTATATGCAGATTTATTGGATTGCACGCCACCAAAAGCAACAGATCTGAGCGGCATTTTATTGATCATCAGCTAATTTCCAAATCAGAGACATCAATAAGAGAGAGTGGCAACAGGCCTGGTAAGATAATTTCGTTTCTTTACTTGAAGATGTGTTAACTGCGTCTGTGACTTACTTTCACTTTTATTTGCGATGTTTGCACGTTGAATAGACGCTCAGCTGCTCATCTGCGGTGATGCGTGTCGCATCTGACTAGGCTATAACATGACATATAGCCTATATAACACGCTCTCACTCGTTTATTTTTTAGCATTTTTGGGAGGAGTAAAATATACATATGTGGTTTCAACAACCAGATTGCGTTTACACCTAGTAAAGATCCGGACACAATGCGAGCCAGACTACCTCCAGATGTGGTCAGGCAGATCCGATCACGATCCGATCACAACGCGTTTACACCTTGCATTAACATGCGTTTTTTATTATCCGGATAACTTATCTGGATACAGATCGCATTTTAATACCAGGTGTAAACGGGGTCTAAAACTGGATTCACAAGTGCCAAACAGGCCTACTGTTTCTCCCAGTAATGTCCCTCCATCAGCGGATCATCCCTTCACTGACTGCTGAGGCATTACACATGACACTGAAACACAACACTCAGCATTGATGCGCTCAACTCCGTTCATTCAAGCCGAGTGAGCATCTCTATAGTGAGAGGGTTTGTTTTAGCACCCAAACAGCCCGAAAAGACAATTAAAAACATATCAGTAAAAAAAATGCAAACTATAATGAGATAACAGGCTAATAGGAATGCCTAAATTTATGCTACCGGTGCACAAAAGATTAATTTTCTCCACTGAAGTCTTTATATGGGGCTGAACTACACCATTTTCAGTTTGACTCAATCCCTTAATAGGAAGCAAGTAAACATGTTTTGTTGACAGGACCAAGTGCTGCCACCTCGTGCAGACAAAAGCTTTCCGCATTGAGCACTGAGTAATTTACATAATATGAGTATATTGATGGTTAACTACAGTTCAAAAAACAGATTATCTACATGTACATGAGAAAAGTACAGAGAGGTGCTCATGTCTCTCAGCAAATAGTGATTTCTTTAAAAAAAGGACAGAGGGCAGCATGTTCACCCAATCCATCTTCCCCCAACTGAGCAAACAAAAAATGGCAAAAAGTCCCAAAATACACAGTCAGAACACCATAGAGAGTTAAACATTCATCACTAGAACTCACAGTGACATCCAGAACAAACACATTCCTCAACTTTAATATCTGTCAATAAGTTAATGTGAAACGTAATTTCTGTAATCGACCCGAAATTTGGGGAGTATCATTTTTCAATGCTACATTAATGTATCGTGTCCCAGTTTATGCAGAGAACAAGTCATTTGTAGCCTGATTTTCATGTAAAGTGTTTTTAAAACTTTGAGCACGCAGCCAGAGTAAGCACAGACGCATAATATATCAGCACCATATTTATTATTGACTGATGTTTTTTTTTGTTTGTTTTTTTAAATCGGTCGGTATCACCGATTTTATCATTTCAAGATTTAGCTCATCACCTAGCACTCAAAATGATAGCTGCAAATTATGAGGCCATTTACAGGACACCATTTTCAACTAAAAATGGGAATCTTTTTAAACGTTTTGATGGTTCATTTGCAAGTGCAAATTTTTGAAAACGATAATGTTATCTTCTTTGTGTAAACTACAAAAAACACGAATTTGTGAAAACATTGATGTCATGAACATGTATTATAGGCGCTTGGTGTTTCTTTACAAAGCGACATCGCCAACTACTGGCCTGACATGAATAATACTGTGTTTTTAGTCGGATCTGTGGATCCGTGTGAAAGGGGATCGTTTTGACAACATTTTTGTCTATATTCGGAAAATGCAAAGGAAAAACGTTGCTGTTTTAGTACATCGTTGTTGTGTAAACATACTCTTAATTTAACCTTTTAAAAGATGTATATCCATACACTCACCTAAAGGATTATTAGGAACACCATACTAATACTGTCTTTGACACCCTTTCGCCTTCAGGTTGAAGGCATAAGGGGGCCTTCAACCTGAAGGCGAAAGACCACTTTTCCCCCTGAAGCATACAAGGTTGTGGGTGCTTAATTCTATGTGGCATTGATTCAAGGTGCTGAAAGCTTTCTTTAGAAATATTGGCCCATTTTGATAGGATAGCATCTTGCAGTTGATGGAGATTTGTGGGATGAACATCTAGGGCACGAAGCTCCCGTTCCACCACATCCCAAAGATGCTCTATTGGGTTGAGATCTGGTGACTGTGGGGGCCATTTTAGTACAGTGAACTCATTGTCATGTTCAAGAAACCAATTTGAAATGATTGTAGCCATGAAGTAGCCATCAGAGGATGGGTACGTGGTGGCCATAAAGGGATGGACAATGGACATGGTCAAAAACAATGCTCAGGTAGGCCGTGGCATTTAAACGATGCCCAATTGGCGCTAAGGGCCTAAAGTGTGCCAAGAAAACATCCCCCACACCATTACACCACCAGCCTGCACAGTGGTAACAAGGCATGATGGATCCATGTTCTCATTCTGTTTATGCCAAATTCTGACTCTACCATCTGAATGTCTCAACAGAAATCGAGACTCATCAGAACAGGCAACATTTTTCCAGTCTTCAACTGTCCAATTTTGGTGAGCTCTTTGTAGCCTCTTGTTCCTATTTGTAGTGGAGATGAGTGGTACCCGGTGGGGTCTTCTGCTGTTGTAGCCCATCCGCCTCAAGGTTGTGTGTGTTGTGGCTTCACAAATGCTTTGCGGCATACCTCGGTTGTAACGAGTGGTTATTTCAGTCAAAATTGCTCTTCTATCAGCTTGAATCAGTCGGCCCATTCTCCTCTGACCTCTAGCATCAACAAGGCATTTTCACCCACAGGACTGCCAAATACTGGATGTTTTTCCCTTTTCACACCATTCTTTGTAAACCCTAGAAATGGTTGTGTGTGAAAATCCCAGTAACTGAGCAGATTGTGAAATACTCAGACCGGCCCGTCTGACACCAACAACCATGCCACGCTCAAAATGGCTTAAATCGCCTTTCTTTCCTATTCGGATTTTCAGTTTGGAGTTCAGGAGATTGTCTTGACCAGGACCACACCCCTAAATGCATTGAAGCAACTGCCATGCGATTGGTTGATTAGATAATTGCATTAATGAGAAATTAAACAGGTTTTCCGAATAATCCTTTAGGTAGCCTCTTTTTCAAAGGTTGCAATTGGGATGCAGCTGACTATGACATCACAGATCTAAGGACCCAATAATGAGCTCACCTGGACACACAGCCTGAATGGTGCCATGGTTGAGCTTCAGTGTGCTGGTTAGATGTCGCTGAGAGGAGCCAGTGAACCACAGGAAGAACTGCACCTCCCCCTGTTCTCCTTCACGGAGCGCCTCATCGCAAAGCTGAACTGTTAGCACACACTTGCCCTGCCACAAACAAAAACAAAAACAGAACCTTAGATAAAATACAAGTTTACGTGCTTATGAATAACTTGATGTATTATTGTCCAAAAGGCTCAATGCCAAACTGATCCAATCCATCACATTAGAAGTCACTTGAATGAACCAGTTAATAATGTGCATTTTCAGCCAACTTGATCATAAAAAAAATGTACATGATTTTTTAGACGCAAGCACTGTATGAGTGTGAAATTTCCTTTTAAATGGAATTTGCAATTCTTTCTTTTAAATGGAAGCATTCGACAATTGTTAACGCAAGAACTCAAAGTCAAACGCAATGAGAAATAACTGAAGTTGTGGTTGCAACAGGATATCACACACGTGCTGGTCTGCACAGATTAACACAGATAGCAATTTGAATTTAACAGCGCACGCCTAGGGTTCTAGGTGAGAAGCTTGTCTTCTCCCAACACTTTCACAGATTAATACACTGAAAAAAATGCATCTACAATTAAAATTCGTACAATATGCTCACTGTTCTGCACTGCAGCCAATGGAGCCACCACTACAAAGACCATGATGAATTTAAACTGGGATTTTATCACATTTCATGAATTTAAACTGGGATTTTATTTCCTATTAGAATAAAAATGTATTTCCTATATAAACAGGACGATTGTATATGAAAATATCACATAGAATAAAGAAAAAACATGCTAATTTCTATTCAGCAAGTACACATTTTATTGACCAAAAGTGACCGTAAAAACATTTAATATTCTTCTGAACTTTCTATTTTCCAAAGAAAAAGAAAATGCATGACCGTTTCTACAAAATATTAAGCACAAGTGCTTTCAACATTGATAATAATAGTAAATGTTTCTTGTGCATCAAATCAGCAAATCATAATGATTTCTGATGTGAGTAATGAAGCTGAAAATACAGTCTTGGCATCACAGAAATAAATTACATTTTATTATAATATTTAAAAATATTCCTGTTTTACCATATTATTTTGACCAAATTAATGGAGCCTAGATGAGCATATGAGACTTCTTTCAAAAACAATATCAAATCTTACGACCCCAAACTTTTGAATATAGAGTATATGACATTATCGATAAAAAAAAATAAAAGTCCCATTTGAATTTCATGGCAACTTTGAAGAAAGACAAAAAAACCTAACTTTAACCATGAAAAACTTATACAATGGTGCTTTGTGAAGAATTTGAAGACAATGTGCCAATCTTAAGAATCAATATGAGAATCAAACATAAATCTATAAAAAAACATAATATAACCGACTCAAGAACCCGATGAAGTGATAATGCTGAAGTTAAAGTCCTACAAAGAACCATTAAAGATCACTGGTTTCATGGTTAAGTTCTTGCTCAAAATGTGTTAAAGCGACAGAAAGGATATATTCGAGTTTCGATGGAGGCAGTGCTACAGTATGGTGTGATTGACAATCGGGTAGAATTGGAGAAATCTGAGTCGCATACTGACTTCAGAAATTATTTCAGGAGAGGAAAGATGTCTATGGGAATAAAGACACAATAAGGGGTGTCGCACATACTTCTGTACTCAAAACCAGCCTAATCCATCCTCTATCACTATCACCATTGTGTCCATTTATCTCAGTCTTGTGGATAATCTAATATCGTTTCAGCAGTTAATTACAGACGTTAACACAAAGATAAGTGTCTTTGAACCCTCATCAGATTTCACAGCACAGGAGGGAAAATCCCTTCTCTTTGTTGACTGTACTCCTACGTGAGATGGGCTTCTTGTGATAGTAACACAATATCAGTCACACATCCATCCCATTGCTCTACTCATTTTCTGTTCTTGTAGGGTGCTGACAGTCATATTCACAGGGAAGAATTCACCCTGGGGTCACCACCAGTCTCCTGAACGACAACTGTATTGACTTTTCAAGATCTGTGTTGAAGACGGCTGAAAGGACAGCAGACTTTGAGGGGACTGGCGAAGCTGGAATGTGATTATTTTATTTCACAATTGACATTTAGATGTGCACTAATAATGATTTTGTTTCTAATTATCAGAGTAAGGACTTAAAGGCCCACTGAGGTGCCTTGGAACGTGCAGCTTTGTATGATGCGTTGACGTAAATTCCACTGAAACAGGAAGCTAAAGTGGGACATACTGAATGGCCCCTCCCCCCTTTCAAAAAACCAATAGCGTTTACCTCAGAGACTAGAAGTCGTACTTGGAAGCGAATCCGAGCGCTGATGATATGTTGGATTCAATAGCAGAGATAAATTCTAGCCATTTTATTCTTAACCAACATACAGTTGGAAAACGGAATAAAACTTGAGCGTTTGAGTAACCGAACACACATCTCCAGCCCATGTTGCTCCTTTACGCGTCAACGGTCGATTTGGCCAAGTGGTATTTATAGAATGGGGGCAGGGCGCTTTAGATTCTAGAGAGCATTTGATTGGACGGAAGTTGTGATGATGAGAAGCTGAAGTGATGAGAGGAAGTGAGTCTCCTAAATGTGAATTGTGTCATTGTTTTGGAACACACCAGCTTATTCATAACCTTAAGGCTAACATATTCATACTACGCCAAGGTTATGGGTTCGATTCCCAGGGAAAGCAAGAACTGATAAAATGTAAATGTGTACCTTGAAATGCAATGTAAGTCCCTTTGGATAAAAATGTGTCTGCCAAAAGCATAAATGTAAATGTAATTTTGAATTTCTGGTTGTGCATTATCAACACTTTTCATGAGTCCAATCGAAACGCGAGTTCATTGGTTAATCCGCTCCCGTTCATATAGAGTGGGTTTTCCGGGAATGCGGTTGTCCTGAAAATTTACGGGTGTAAGTTCAGTTACAGAATGCGGTTGTCACTCCCGTAAATAACTGTATACTGTGTGTGAAGTGTGAACGTAATAATACAGGACTGACAATGGTATTCTGCTGCTGTGTGAACATGCGCTAGCCAGAAACGTTTGACCACTTGATTTGACTGAGCAAATAAAGATGAATGGAAAAATAAGCATGGTGGATACTTACATATAACGGGGCTTGACAAGGACTAAGTTTCATGACTCTGGACACTGAAAAGATACACACAAAAAATACAGTATGAGGTCAATGCAAACGAACAGTAGATTATCAGATCAACCACAATACTGATTCTTCTTTCGGACCAATAATAAAAGAAGGTTTATGGCTTGAAATGTTTGCGCATGAAAATACGCCTCAGCATATGTGGGGAAAAAAAATTTAAATTAGCACCTCTACTGAGAGCATAACAGCTGTTTGTTAAATAGCACTTAAGGCCGAAAAAATATTCATGAGTGTGAGTCACACCTTCAGACTCAGTGAGTCCAAGACTGCTAATTCTCAGGCCTGCAATCAGCAGGAAAGTGATGCGTTTGAATGTTTACGGGAAGACCAAGTTCATGGGTGAATCTCACAAAATATGTCAAGACAATGATCTGGTTATAATTGACTCAACAACAACTATATATATATATATATATATATATATAAGAAAGAAATTATATCCAGAACAATTGTCCCCTGCCCTGATGTGTTTCTGTAATCATGAGTTATGGAAATGTGCTTAATTTTCATTAATATATTGCCACAATAAAATAAAATAAATAAATCTTTACGGTCCTAAAAATAGGCTTAATTGTCTTCACGCTAACTATCTTTTTTGTTTAGTTTTTTGGGGTGAAACCAATAAACCCACAAGCTGACAAGCAATCCATTGGCCATCCATTCTATGCTTTTTCAGTGCACACCGGTAAATAAAAGCAGCGCTGCTGTTAGATGTAAGGAGGATCAGGTTGAAAGGATAAACAGACTCTAATAATACCCATCCTAATCCTCTTCTCCAGCACTCAGTTTGCTCGACCTTCTCTCTTCACACAACCAAAAGTAAGAATAGAGTCACTGCACACACACTTTTTACCTTTAACATCTCATTCTGCAAATCACTTGATTTTTCCGTATACCTGTTTTCAGATAGAAAATATATCAAAAAACATTTACTTGAGGAGCAAAATTGGGGTTAGGTGTAAGTTTCATTGTCGTACTGCATTGACAAATTGCGGTACAGTCTTGTTGTAAGCATAAAACTAACCAAATTTAGTGAGGTTTATCCTAAAAACATGAGACAAAAATTACGGTAAGCAGTTTAAAGCTATGGTAGGGAATTTTGCAGGGCTAGCAATAGCAAGCTAGCTTTGAAAGCATAAGATCCCACCCTCCCCGAGCGTCTCCAAAAAATATGAACACGCACAGCCAGAGCAGAGTACGCAAACCGTCATGAGAAACAGCATTAAATTACCTCATGTCTCAAAGTACATAACATTACAATAATAATGAACGTAAACATCTTACAGAGCTCGGACTTGTAGCATCTGACTGCTGCAGATTAATTTCGACAATGATAATGTTGACATAGTAACACATCCGAGTCTGAGGATGTGAACAGCTAAGAACGTCACAGGTTGCCATCTCGTAATTACGTTATTTACGACATGGCGTGAATGCAGCATAGCACGTTGTTTTGGTTCAGGAGGAACTGTAAAGGTCTGTCTCATTTAGAAAAGCTATTAGTCGGCTGTATACTTCATCAAAGATATCTAATTTCAGAAAAGTAACCATTTTATGACTCTAATGTGATGGTTACTTTACTGAAATGAGGCAGCCTCAATAACGCATGCGGGTGACAAATACAACTTACAAAGTGCGAAATGAGACAGTAGGCCTGTCCAAATTCCCAAACTTACTTAGTCTTTGTTCCTGACCACGTGTCTAGCCTGTATTTAACCTAAGTTTTCAAGTGGGTGTGAAGACAGCAACTTTTGATTACCTGTGGGACACACTTAATTGTGAAAATGCAAGTGTTTACAGACCTTTGTTTTGATCTCCAATACTTTACATTTTAAAATAAACTTCAAAATGTCTGTTCAGTAGAAGTAACAGACGCCACTATTTAGTAATTGTGGTGCTTCTAATTAAAAGATAAAAACCAGTTGCAAATGTTGTCCAACACTTAACTTGCAGTGAAATGTTTCTCTCAACATCTCGCGATTTCGGGGGACACAAGTTCCTGAACATGATGCATGATGGGATATGCTTAGTCTCAAATACCGCTCCGATAGAGGCTGGATCCCAAATGGCCTAGTGGACCTCCTTCAAGTTCACACTTGGTGATGTCAGGAAGTGCAGACCTAAGGGGCACTGGAGTGTATTTTGGGACAGGCTTGATGACATCATGCCACCGAAAGTCAAACAGCCACGAAACTCCTCCCCTCATTTATCTGATTGGGCGTTCGCAATGATTTCTTGGTAACTCAAGTGGAGCGTGCGAAAGTGGGAGTTTGCCGAAGTCCGCATAGAGGGCACACTTCTGAGTGCTGAAATGCCGAATGGGACACCCTTACGGACTTGTACACTTGACGAGCACGCGCAATTTAAGGTCGCGAGACCACGAGTCCACATGAAGTTTGCCATTTGGGATCCAGCCATTGCGGGTTTAGTGTGCATTAAGGGCATTGACCTGGGAAATTTATGCACACAAACTCTCAAGTGTCCAAGACTGCAAGTGTGGGTATTTGGACAGGCCCGGTGTCTGTCTACAACACTGCATAGCCTCATGGAAAACGCAGATGAACACGATACGTCGTCTGCGCGAGCAAGGTATGACATCCTATTATTACATTCGGACCAAATGCAATGATTGGACAAACATTTTTGGTCCTGAGACTTCCACAGAAGATATAGTCTGCAATGTATTGCCAGAAGATATATTGTTCTCCATGGAATGAGACCGAAACACCTGGTTGAACCTCAATGCATTAAGGCAGCGAAACTGCCTTTAAGTTGGCTAACATTTCACTACAATACACCTGTGCTGTAAGCTGATATATATACATTTACAAGCTTATACCTCAAATACTTGGCAATACTTAGAGTTCATCTACACCCATAAGAACATCAAAGGAGAAACTGGACTTCCCACCTTGAGGTGTGGCTCTTCTGGTGTCCTTTCAAAATGTTCTATTGCATAAAGTGCACAAAAGCACAAAGAGCAATGCCAGTAACAATTTAAAAGGGGAAGCAGTTTCATCACTCATAGGCCCTGAAACACTTTGCTGAACATGTGTGACAAGCACAAAGATTAAATATAGATTTCCTCCCAGCTGAAATGATCTCGAAACCCCTTTTTCTGACACCTGCTTTTATATAGTAATGAACAATAGCAATAGTACTGCCTTTATAAAGGCGAAAGGAAGTAAGTAGACTTGAAGACCTGTCAAACAGCAACCTTTACCCAACAGCAAGGGCATGTGTGCACAAACTGGGAGCTGGGCAAAAAGACTGATTAATGTTATTTTATTTAGAGAGCAACAAGAAACATGCAAACATTTAGGGGGGCCTTTCCCAAAATCGAGGGTTGATGTAAGACACAACAAAAAGTGGTGTTTAATTGTACTTAATAAACAGAAATAGTTTCAAGTAAAAGGAAAAATAATTAAATAACCATTATGTGATATAAAACAGTGATACTGGGAGATTTTTTTGTATACCACCCACTCCTAGGATGAGGGGATCATTATTAATAAATAGAGCCATGCAGTGATGGCGTATTTCTGTAGGCCAACTCAGAAGTTAGAATCACCATGGTTCCCTTTTTGGGAACTTTTTGGAGAAGAGGATTTTTTTAGGAGAAGTATGATTCTTACATGTTTTTTCATCAAGCTAATTCCCAAAACTGAACAACATTTATGAGTTTGAAGCCTAAATACAATCGCCAGGAGTAAAAAGCTAAAGTTAGACTATAAACTAACTATAGCCTGGAATGCTGGACATCCTGAAATGTTTTCATCAAAAACCTTCATTTCTTTTCAACTGAAGAAAGAAAGACGTAGACATCTTGGATGACATGGGGGTGAGTAAATAATCAGCAAAAGTTTTTTTTTTTAAAGTAAACTACTCCTTTAAATGATCAAATACACATAAAATAGGTCAAAGTGCCCATCTTGCATCCTGCAAAAGGGTTAAAATTTGCCTTAGGAAAAAAAAAATTAATTTGAAAATCTGGAAAAGCACAGAAGTATAAAGGATTCACAATATTCAATCCTAAAATCAGAGACTCGCTCATCCAAATCACATCACAAGTGGTCAGTAAGCATTTGAGATCCTACTAGCTGGTGCAATCCATCTCTGCTGACTAAACACTTGCGAGTGGATCACCAATGGCCAATGTTAATACCAAGAGTAAACAGGGTAAAAGATCTGTATTGATAACTGAAAGAATGTATAGACTCGAATCAATCCATGAGCAACCACTAGGCTCATGCACATGCGTATGCATCTGATGGTAGAATTTTGTGGTTAAATACACTACCGTTCAAAAGTTGGTGTTCATTAAGATTTTTTTAAAAGATATATTTCATTTAGCATGGATACATTCAATTGCTCAAAATTGACAGTGAAGACATTTACATTACAAAAGATTCCTGTTTCAAATAAGATGATCCTTTCAAAAACATTTCAAATAATTATCAAGCCTAAACTTTTGAATAGTAGTGTACTGCAAAACGGCATAATTACTGAGAAAAGCCTATCAGCACGTTTCACCATCCAGCGAGGGACTTGATCGCGTGATGATCAATTAGGACCCTGCAATTAATGTCTTTAAGGCCATTTCGAAATTACAAGCGACTGCAAAATGACAAATTATAATAATTGGATCTAACCTAATAATTGGGGCAGCTTATCTGAATTATGAGATAACTATCATGTGTCAAGAGACCACAGGAATATGTGGCCTTTGATTTTTGCATAACCCTCTGAGTGATCAAAAAAAAGCACAGTCAATGATTAAAACAGGCAATTACATGTTCAGAAACTGGCCTTGGTGTAGAAATAATCAGAGCTGCATTAGTGCCTCAGGTGTGAAGATGTAATTAGCAGTTAAGTTAAGTCTAAAATATGACTGAAGTAGCAGCTGACACAAACTAAAGCTTATTTTTGTTTTACATATTTAATAAGCCTGTCTTTTTTTAAACAAAGCAGAGAAATTATGCGCACA